GAGCGGTCTTTTCGCTGCCAATTTATTCAACGACCCATCAACGAAATCGCCAAATGCATAACAAAATGCTTCACAAAAGAATTGCATTGGGTGGAAAAGATAAAATTTACTATGAGTTTTATCAAAAGACAGATAACCGACAGTACCATTTTCCATGTCCCCTTACATAACACCAGTCTTCTTACAGAGAAATAACACTATACATGAACCGATTAGACCTGTTTTAAAAGCAACAAGGCAAATTTCAGTTACCTAGCTCCTGTAATTGAGATGAACTGTTGAAGTTTATCCCGGTGGCCCCTACCCATCTTATGCTGCAGAAAGAAAGAGGATCATATGCATATATATACCGATATCGAGGTGCTCAAAGAAAAGCACCAATAACCACAGAATCGTGAACGATAGAACCATATCGTATGTCTTCTTCTTGAACATGGAAATCCCGCATGATTCATCATCTACGTCGTCATCTAATACAATACGAATCGAGCAAATATTGCCTAAAGGCCCTAAACCCAAACCAAGGAAGCTCAATTCACTAAATTTGGGAGCAAAAGAAGAATAAATCTGAAATTCTAAAGCAAGATTAGCAAGCCACAGCATCGTAAAACTATCCTCGAGGGGGAGAATCAATCTGAAATTCCTAAAAGCACTTACCATACCCCCGAAAAAAACCCTAAAATGAGAGGAATCTAAAGAAGGGGAGAGAGGCGAAGAACAAGAGCTGCAGAAGAAGCTGAAGAAACCTCAGAAGAATCGAATCTGCAGGTTTTCAGGCGTCTCCCTCTATCTCTGGTCGAAAGAGAGAACGGAGTGAGAGTGTTGAGACCAACTCACCTCAGCAACCCTGTATTTATAGGTACATCTTAAAACAGTACAGGAAACACAGGCACCAGGAAAATGTTTTAATTTGGCTTTTGCTTTTTTTTTTTTTTTTTGCGAAAAAAAGGTTAAAAATTAAAGAAGAAAAAAAAGAAAAACAACTGCTTCGGTTCGGACCAGACCGGTTCGCCACCACTTCGTCTTAATTTTTTTGGTTAAGATTATATCGGTTCGTTTTTTTTTTCTAAAATTAAGAGCATTGTAAATTACGCAGACATCGCGAATATGGATGATTTAGACATTTTTTGGCCAGTTCCTTGGCGGAAAAATATCAAATTTATCGTCTTTCAAAAAAGAATATTGGGCAAAAAATGGGCATATAAGCTCATTAATAATTTAATATTAATGGACAGTAACATTGTTAAATTGGCTCCCTTGATTTCCTTTGAATCAACGTGTTTAATTGGCTCCCTTAATCTTCACCATCATCTTAATATGCTCATCCCATGCTATTATGTAATATATATATATATATATATATATATATATATATATATAAAAGCTGCATCATTGAACTCGAGAAATTTCAAGAAATGCATTACCATTATCAAGAAAATGAAAAAAATCACGCAGAAAACTCGAATACTAAATAAAATCATCTCCCTTCAATCCTTGTTTTTTCACTCCCTCCTTTGATCGTAAACCATCTCCCTTACTCGCTCTTTCAACCTCTGTTTTCTTTGTCATAGTCTCCGTCGTCGTGCTCTTCTTCTTCGTCGTCGTCCTCGAATGGATTGGCATCTTCTCGTCACTCTTCTTCATCTTCTTGATCGCTGTCGTCGTCCTCATCGAGCCGGGAAGACGCCATTTCCCTCTCTCGTAGCGATCTCTCTACGAGGGTCTTGAGCAAGTTCATCACTTGAACCGCGTACATCAATGCCGTTAAAGGATCTGCCATCTACCACACACAAAACCAAAACCCGACCCCATCAGCTTTCGCCTAACTTTTTCTTATATATATAACAAGACCTCGCGTTTTTCTCTCTCTACCACGATATGATTTCAGACAAGAATTCCAAAGACAACCTCAGAATCTGTACCAATAGAAGTTCCCCTAATTGTTCAAGTTTCAGGACACTTGTTCTTGAGCTTGATGTTTCAGAATTTGCCCTGCAGCTGTAATCTTTTCTATGTTCTCGGTATCCATTTAGATGCCTTGTGTTTTCCGTTCAAGTATATATACCCATAAGACAGCGAATCGAATCAAAATACTAATCCTATTAGGACACTAATCCTGTTCAACTCACTCACCCGGGACATGTTGGGTGCAAAGACTAGAGCGATGTTGCGGGAGTTCATCTTGTTGAGATGTTCACACTCGGCGACATCGGCCATGAGATTGATCACCCAGTTGAGGAGAGAAGCTTCTGTTTGAGGTAAGAGCCTCACGGCCTTGACGAAATCCTCCTCGGATTCGCACTGCATCACTTGTTCAGATGGCAGAGGATCCAGTACCCCTCTCGGCAGTTCTCTGAACCAAGCCTGTAAAGAGTTTGATTATATTTATGCGAACGATCAAGAAGTCGGTCCATTAATCTCAAAGGGTTAGAGCTTTCGAAGCTCGTTGGTAAGAACCAACTCTTGCCTTTATAAGTCCGGCCAGACAGTGGACGTCGATCCCATCGGGTATGACTCCTTTGTTTAGCTGCTCTCTCACGTGCTCTTCCTCGCCATTCTCTGCTGTGATTCTGAATATTCCTTCTTCCTGAAAACATCGACTCCGAAATTGGTTAAACAATGGATTTTCCGAACAAGAAGGCTCGTTTTAACGAAACGATAAGAACTGCCCCCGATGATAAACCCGTCTTATCTTATAAGATAGAAAAGGAAAAGACCGTTTTGTATACAAAATCAAGAACGGAGATATAGATGAATGATCCACCTGCAAGCCTCCTTGATCATAAAGCCGGCTTTGCAATAGCAAGAGTATCACAGGAACACAGTTCCCTCTTGAGTCGTATGATAGCTGCATCGACTCTGTTGAAACCCCGAAAACCGTTGCACTGGAAGAGGCCAAACAGATCATCAGTTGGTGAAACAAGAACAAGAATTCGGCAAAAATCAAGATACGAACCATTTATTGTGTATATGTTCTTGTAATCTTTGGAATTATTATTTTGAAATGAAATCGTTAGACCAACATAGTCTGCACATTGCTTAGTTTCAAAACTAAGTCACAAATTTGACTACAGAAGAATTCCGACAGAGATCAGAACCACTGCAGAAGAATTCTGAATTGCGGAAGGAACAGCTATATGCAGAATTCGACATATATCTCGCAGCTAAGACTTTCTCGGGAAAATGGCGCATTATCTCGCCAACGTTTTCCATCACTTTCCCGGCAACCAAACGACAATGTCCAAACGTATTATTCACATGAAAAGTCATAATTCGTCAAACCCTTCATCAGTTCCGCGATCAAAACCAAAACCCATAAATCAAAACCGAACCTTGCACTGGGAGCTTTTCTGGGCACATCGGGCTCGAACTCGGAAGGAAGACCCAGGAAGCCATTGAAGCGATCGAAGGTCACGTGAGCCACGTGGCGGACATTCGTGGGACAACCAATGTCCATGGCTCGTCGACCGCCTTCGCCGCCGCCGTCGTCCTCCGCCGTGTCTTCTCTCGAGAAGCAACGCGAAAGCTCCAAAAGGACTCGACCAACCGACGCGGAGCTGCCGAACCGCGAGAGTTCGGGTTTTCCGCGAGCTCTCACTCTCTCTATCTCTCCGTCGCCGAAAACTCACAGTCTGTCTTCTTCCTCTGGTTCTGAATCCACAAGATCAAGAAAAAAAAAGTTGAGATTTTTTTGGAAATGCGTTAAGCGAATCAGTCAGTCATGATCGGCGATGAAGTGGGTTAACTTGAGAAATATAAAATTCTGCAAAAATTAAATAAGAAAAGTTGTCAATTTTACACAACACAGGCAATGCTGTTGTTGGAGAGAGAGAGAGAGATTGAGTGGCGCTGAAGAAAAGGGTTTGGAGGAAGGTGTAACGTGGGAATCACTAAGTTAAATTCTATATTCGTAAAAATCCATAATGTTCCTCTGCCTTAGCTTTGAATTATCATACCAATAAAGTATAAACCTATACGCACGCGTATACATATATGGTGTTGGTGACAAAATTTTCTCAGCAGTAATGATGGAGAAATTTTATATTGCAACAATATTTAATGAAATGGTGAACAATCTATTATGATTGTGACTTTGATGGTCCATCTCAAAATACATTTTGGAATTATTTTTGTTATTCTCACATCATATGATTCGTAGTTTGTCCAATCTGAAACTGACGAACTTTAATCTAATCACTAATGCATTTTGTTCGATCATTTTTACCTACACTTCTTGCAAGATTTCAACATCTCTAATTAGTTTTGAAATTTTTTTATAGATTTTAAAAAATTTGTGTATATTTTCTTCCAAATATTATGGAAAATTCTCGGACTAGGATCTTTTAATTATTTTGTTATTGAAAGTTCCTTAAAATTTTCTAAAACCAGTAAAATTTTAATCTAACAAGAGAAAATCCCGTAAAAACAGCAAAAAATAACGATATAAAAATTCTGAAATTGCAATTTTTTTTATAAAAAGCTATTAATTTGTCCATTTTTTTCCAAAAAAAAATATTTTTACATTTTTTTTACAAATTAAATCGTTGATCACGTATGATTATTGAAGTCGCAACCACGTCATCCCCATTCCCCGCCACACCAAGAACAATTAAAATTTAAAAATACAGACACATACACAACATATACTCATATATATATATATATGCATAAATATACACACATACACGCGTGTATTACATACACATTCATATATATATATATTGATATATCTACATATATATGTTACACACATACATATGTATATATATAAGGATGTACGCATATACGTACATATATACGTGTATGTGTGTATTTGTATGCGTCTATGTATTGATTTTGAAATATTTTGAAAACTTATCGATTGAGTAATATAGAATTTTAATGTATTTTAAAATATTCTTTGTTAATATCAAAACTAATAACAATACATGATTTTAATAATTGAAATAAATCCAATATAAATCCAATTCAAATAATTTGAATCGCTAATTGATCAAGCCCAGATGACTTTTACATAATTTAACATACTCTAATCACGTGGATTTCATCATTACTCATAAGTAATGCGTGTTATTGCTAAACAAAGATCGTATATCTCTTTTCTATTTAATTTCATTTTGACGCTCATATAATCGTGATATAAGGCTGCAATCATGATCAGGTTGCCAAAGATTTAATTCTGTGAATCTGTTTATTGTTATATTATATGATATTTCGTTATTATTAGTAATTAATGCGATAGTTCATCGTTATCATTATTTACTTGGGCCCTAAAGAACATGCATTGCATAACTAAAAAACAGTAATGATGAAAAGTACGAGATACAGATTCGTAAGTTCACTATGTATTTGATCCAATTATATCTTCTATCCGATCGAAAAAATCCGACTGAATATCTTTACTCACGCTTGGGTTTTGAACCCGACATAAAAATATATTTTATATGTTGACCATCCAATTTTAGGTACGAGATAAAGAGTTTTCTATATAGAAATAATTTTTTCGGGTTATTGAAATCTGAATATCTAAAATTATAAATTTTAAAATCGGGTCTCGAATTAATTTGTAAATCTCGAATATTCTAATTTCTAATATCCGTACTATTATTTTTAGTGATTTATCTCCGTCGACTACTCTGGCAACGATCTCTGTTTCCATCGATTCGGCGATTACAAGGACGAACTTTCATCTATGCTAGGGTTTCGAAAAGAGTGAGAGAAATAACTATTTTGATAGTTTTCAATAAATATAAAAAATATTTTGATAATTTGTTAAATGGAAATTAGAAATAATTTAATGTACTCGGATGGTTAAAATAAGTCCATTATTTAGGTAAACAATTTGTTAGAAAGTTATATTAAGATTTTTAACAAAAGAAAAACATTATAATATCATTTTGAGTTTTTATCTTTTTACAATTATTGCTAAACACAAACGACATAAAAACGGTTTAGAATCAATATGGATCAGGATAATAATTATATGTAAAATAATTAATATAATAAAAATGATATAAAATTTGGATTGCGTTTAATGTTGACGAAGATAGTTGGGTTTATATCCGACAGAATATATATGTGTTCTTAGTCTAATATATATATAATTTTTCGTACAATTCGTATCTGTCTCTTCCTTTCCCTTTGCATTTGTTAATTTGATAGAATAAATTAGATTTAATTATAACAATATATTTCGGTTTAGATACCTAAAAGAGCCGAATGAAAAAATATATATAACTATATTCAAACAGAATTCACATCCAGATGGACCTTATGTAGACTTGCACATACACACCACGCATGCATGAACCTTTCACAATCATATATAAATTCAAATATTTTCTTGGTATGATGAACACGCCAATATCATAAAAGAAAGAAAGAAAAAATTTATTAGAAAAACTAAACTTATAAAAGAAAGTGGCATAAAAGCCTCTCAACATGCACAATTCTATTAAAGATATGAATTTCTTCCCCTTCTCCAACAAAATCTTATATATATAATAACCGAGATCGTATAATAACCGAGATCGTATATATATATAATAACCGAGATCGTATCTGGGAGATATTGATAAGATATTCTGTATATTTGATTTACTTGTATAAATATATACGACAGGGATTTATTTTTTTTTTGGAAAATGCTTTGTATTACTCATCAAAAATATGATTTACATTCCCTTGTGTGACATTTACAAAAGATCCCAAAAGGTAAACAAATCCCTGCGCAAGTGGTAATCGTTTCGATAGCAATTCCAAACCTTAATTTAAAGGACACTCTCAACTATAACGAGTCAAATAGTACCAATGTTCAAGTAACGTGGAGTACGTGGTCTGTCTATGTGATATCTTCCTCGAAAGTGAAAGTAACGTTGCCACCACATATATCATGGTATCAGAGCTTGACCTAATTTAATTTTCTCTCGCTGTTGTCATTGCCACCACATGTATGTCCACCAAACACGGCTCGACGACATTTCCGACTCTCGATCTGGCTATGTCAGCCACAATGACAGTCAGTCCACAATGATTCCGAGGAGAACTATTTCTCCTTACGATTTAGAGTCCCAACGACAATTCGGGACTTATTTTATCTGAACCTTTGTTGCGAGACATTAATCTGACGTACCTTACAAATTGTGAGATTTTTAAAATTTTGGTGGACGGGAATCAACAGATCAGTTTAAAACAAATTTGTAAGTTGAGGGTTTTTAAGAAAAAATATATATAAGTTCATGTTTTTTATGAAAATTTTCATGGTTAGGACTAGGGGTGGGCGATCGGGTCGGATCGGGTTATTCGGATTCGGTTATTTCGGGTTCGGGTTATTCGGATTTGGAATTTTCATATCCAATCGGATATATAATCTTAATCGGTTCGGTTCGGGTTCGGTTCGGATTTTTTCGGGTTCGGTTCGGGTTTATCCAAACAAATATTCGATAAAAAATTACATCGAAATGTGTTATAGAAAATGTAATTTGTATGTACCAAAAACAACCTAATATTAATAGTCTAGTATCATAAAAAAAATCAAATTTGCGAAACTTAAAAATGAAAAAACAATGATAAAATAAATAAGATAATAAATAAAATTTTAAACTAAAAGCAATATAAAAAATCAACTTGTGGGTTTTTTTTAAAGATGAAACACGAGTAGCATTTTAGGTTCCTTTACAATGATACAGAAACCAATGGGTTTTGGACACACTCGATAATCCAAGCTCCACCAATTACGAATGTCACAACGGGTTTTGGACCATTCGAGTGTTTAGGAAGATACAGATCAAGCCTGGACAAAACAAAACAGTTGAAATTGAAGAAAAGATAACTCCTAATACCATAAACTATACTCCTGCGGATCTGACGAGAGAAGAAATAGTAATTTCTGACTTCAAAGACCAGAACAAGAAATAAATCCAAATTATCAACACAAGACCAGATAAAATGATATAAATCATGATCATCAACAAAATGAAAACATCAGAAGAATTGTATAGCAACCAAGAGCAAAAAATCTTGTGATCCATCTGTAACCTACCCTAAATAGTAACCTAAATAACAACAATGATTAGTTAGAACTTATCTTCGATTCTAGCAGGAGAGAGTGAAGACCCAGGCGAAAAGAAGCACAGATCGGTGGAACTCAGAACTCGACGAAGAGGAGAAGCTCAGAACTCGAAGGAGACGAGAAGCTCGGCTTCGATTCCAGCAGTAGAAGCATAGCTCGATGCCGACGGAGAGGACAAGCTCAGAACTCGACGGTGTTGGGCGGAACTCGAGACTGCAACAGAGAGACGAAGCGGAAAGTCCGAGGATTCGAGCTCGAGATTGAAACAAAGGAGACGACACCGAGACAGAGGAGACGACGACGAGACGGAGGAGAAGATTCAGGCGGAGCAGGCTTGGCTCCGCGATGGAGAAGACGAAACGGCAGCCGCAGAGAAGGAGAAGACGAAGGTAGCAACAATCGAACGAAGGGTAATTAAATCCTAAACCTAAATAATTAAACTAATGTTTAATTAAAATCAGTTATTTCGGATAACCGAACCCGATCGGTTATTTACCCGAACCGAACCGATCCGATCGGGTTTGGGACAATGGTAACCGATCGGTTATTTTTGCAACATCCGAACCGATCCGAAAACCGATTAATCGGATCGGTTTTACCCGAACCCGATTAACCCGACCCGTTTGCCCAGCCCTAGTTAGGACTTCTTACACCATTATTTTCCAAATTTATAGGATTTCCCTAAAATAAATAGAATCTATGTATATCGTGGCTTCGATTTGGTTTATAAAAATTAAGTTGATTTTTTTTTCCAAATTTAGATTTATTTTATTTTTTACAATAATATATAATAGAAAATAATAAATGGCGTAAATTTTGGGGCCCATTAGATTGCACCCGCTGTTATACACACTGCACAAGTACACATACGCACGCACTTACGTAAAGCCCAAAACCAAACTCAAACCTCTAGAAATCCAAAACCATCCCGGCCAAAACCAACAAACCCAAACCGGCCGGTTTAAGATTCTGGCCACCGGACCTGTGACCCCGGCTGTGGAAGTAGAACGGAATGAAACCCCGACGACCTCCGCCACCGGAATATCCACCACGTCCGCCGCCGCCGCCGCCTCCTTTGCCACCGCCACCGCCGGCTTTCTGAACGACGGTGATTTGACGTCTTTCCCCGGCGAACCCATCGCGTGACAGATCGCGGGAGGCTACATGTACGGATCGTGAGCGTACGGAAACAAAACGTAGCTGAAGATGAAGGAAGACAATAAAGTACAGAAGCATCGTTGCTTTAGTGAATCCCATTATGTTTTCCTGTGCTTTCTTGCTTGCTTTGTACTACTGCTCTGTCCATGTGTGTGTGTGTGTATATATATATGTGTGTGAATTATATGAGTGTGTGTATATATATATATATACATCATAGATATATATATACACAAACGCCATAGGACTCGGTATGGCAGTTTGCCCCGAGGAAAGCGCCGTGATATCACAACCACATAAAAAAAAATCACGAAAATGGATATTAATCATCCAAGATTTGATGCGAATAGCGACCAATAAAACTCGACACCAAGTTTGCAAATCGGCCATAAGGTGGTGAAGAACAGTGATAAGTTTCGAAAACATGCATTTGAAATTTGTAGAAATATAAAAACCAATATATGATTTTAAGATGTATAATCGTTTTTGTAAAAAGTGCTCTTCTATTTCTTTCCGTTCACCTGAATTAGCGAAAATATCGATAACGATTTCGTTTCACAATTTTCTTATAATCTTCACGCGATAATATTTAAATAATATTATTATTACATGTATTTTTATTTAAATTTGAAACAACTTTTTGACCTTTGATGGGATTCTCGATTTTTTTTTTGGTTAGCTTAACAAAATGCTTTTGTATTTAGCGGAAGAAACTCTTAGTAGAACAAACAAAAGCATATAAAAGAAAATAAAGGAATGCAACTTTATCAGATCGTATTTACTTGAAAAAAAGGCAGGATAAATTTCGATTTCGATTTAAGTGGAATATCTTCATTTTCAACGTGAAAAAAGCAGAAGATAAGAAGAAATTATATTTAATTTAAATGGAATGTATATACAATATTACTCCAAATCCGAAAATAACGTTGACGTCTTTTATTAATTGGAAAACATATTTGAATCTACAAACTAATTTTATTAATAAAAGTTTTGAAATAAAAGAAACACAGATCAATTTGAAATCATTTTTTTTCTAAAAAGAATTTGAAATGAAATAAACACATATCTAAATTTCTTCTTCTAGTTCTTAATCACTCTCCGATATATATATATATATATATATATATATATATATATGTGTATATATATATTACACTACATTATCAAATGTACAATATCTATTTTTATACATTATACGTAATGCTACCCGTCCTTGGCTAGTAAACTTTAGTATCGTTTTATTAATTTATTTATTGTGTATGAATTTAAATCTCAAAATCATAATAATGTTTCGTCACATGTCTGCATTATCAAACTAGCTCCTATAAGACCAAAAAACTAAAAAACCAACTCTTAATATCTATATTTCCACATAATTAACCAGTAACTAGGCAGGCCACCTTCTGGTCCCAATCGTACCGGAATCGAAACACTAAAAATGACCAAAACCAAACCCTAACCAATACATACAAAACCGGCCAAAACCAGCAAACCCAATAAGCCAACAGTACCGGGTACCGGTTTGAGACTCCGACCGCTAGACTTATGACACGGATCCCGACGCCGACGCCGACGCCGGCACCTACCGAAACATATCCGAACACCCTTCCGGACAACAACCATATTTTCACGTCTTTTTCCGTCTAACCCATCGCAGGCGACCGCCGTAGGAGATTGAATATTCGTACCGTCGGAGGCTACCACACGTGAGGATTGCGAACGTAGGGCGAGAAAATGAATGAAGAGGAGAAAATACAAGAAGGCATTTTTGAAACGCATAGCTTTCTTGTGATTGTTTGGGATCCTGTCTTTTTCGCGTTTATTTGTAGTTTGACAATAAATAGGCGTGCACTTTTTTCATTTATTGGTCTTTAAATTTATACTTTTAGTAAAATGTATTTATTAGATAAATATCGTTCTTTCTATATATATATTTGAATGAGAATCAATATGTATCTCAAAGATGATTTTCTTTATATTTTCAAAGCGTTATCCACCCGTTAAAGAAAAATCGATTCCAAAATTAATGGGATGAAAAAAGTCTATGCGCATTGCACAATCTCCTTTGGATTTCATAAAAAATATATAAAAATTAAGTCTAATAACCTAACTTGGTTAGATCAATCGGTGAGGGATGTAAAGCGTTTTTTCTATCCGAGTTCGAGGTTCAAATTGGAGAGGTGAACGTAATTCCAATCATAGTCTGTTTTTGATTCTGATATTAGTGTGGACCTCGACTCACAACATCCGATTATCAAAAAAATTAATTCTAATACATCCCAATTCACGACGCACACGCAGATAGAACCGAGTATTAAATTATTATTTGTTAATATGTTTAAACGTTTTAAAAAATTAACATTTTTATAGAACGATAAATAAAAGTTTTGGCCAATTCAGTTACGTTAATGGACATGGAATATTTTCATTTCAACGGCAACATTAGAAGGAATGTATAAAAATCAATATATTTTAAAGACAGGTAACAGGTTATTGTTTTGGAAAATTCCATCTAATTGAGTTCTCAAAATTCTATATCAAACTATTTCACAATTTAGCAATTATCATCCAATTAATTATCCCTTAATTGAACTCAAAAGCTTTATGATATATATAAACATGTATATATACGATATATTGTATATGAATAAGCATATATATATGTATATGTGTATATGTATATATGTTTTTTATACTCATATATTTGATGGTAAATCCACATATATAGATCAATCTCGTTACTTTTTTTTGTCGTTTTTCATCGTTGTCGGTTTTTCACTAAACATGAAGGTAATTTTAAAATTTTGCTTATAATATTTAAAAGTATATATTATATAATATTTTTTCTATAATTTATCCATACATTTTATACATGACAAATTTGAACCAAATTAAAATTTATTTTTTTCTAAAAACTTATACGTGTAAGTCCCCGTGAATGAATCTGTATCATGGAGTTTAGTTGATGCACTTCACCTGTCCTAAAGAGACAAAAGCCCCATTCCGTCGTTTCTGACAGCTTATTTCTTTAATGATTATTTCTCACTCCCAAATAAGGAAATCGCTAAATATTAAATAATGTAATATAAACAGTTCAATTATGATTTATTCACATCCTAAATATAGAACCATCGTAATTTTTTTTAATAACTTAGTTCTCCGAATCTTCACTCCCGTCTTTGTATATAAACCATTTTAGTTTAGAAATTATATCCTTTTTCACCGGTAAAATCGAAAATTTTAAGATCATCTCTCAACTATTGGACCACGTTGATAGAAACATCATATTTATAAATTGCATTTTAACATTTACTAATTTAAAAGAAATATATACGTTTATTAAAAGCAATATCTTTATGCATTGGTTTCCTCTAACCAATCATATTTCATCACGTCATACGTAACTATAATTTTTTTTAAAAATTTCTGCAATCTTCTCTTCCTAACTTCTCCTCACAGACCCACAAAATCTAAAACCGAAGCAAAATATAGCAATCCTGAAACTGCACGCGCTAGCGCGTGAAACACTTATGCACTCCCATGTATACACATCACGTGTATATATATAGAGACTTGATTCGCATGTACGACGAGTGTACTTAAGAGTCAGACAATCAAAATTCTCAAAGGAAAGGGGTTGTCGGGTAGGAAGAAGAAGGAAGACAGAGAAAATTGAAGGGTGAGATGCCTACTAGGGAGGCGTTGATCGCTGCGTCGGAGGTATTCCCTGGTTTCAGATTCTCCCCGACGGATGTGGAGCTGATCTGCCACTACCTTCGCCGGAAAATCGCCGGAGACGAGAGCTCCGTCGCCGTCATCCCCGAAGTCGAGATTTACAAGTTCGAGCCTTGGGATTTGCCAGGTCCTGTCTTCTCTCTGCTTCTCCTTGCTCCGTTTTTTTCGTCAATCAACAAAAACTTCGATTTGGGTCGGCGAAATTTGCCGTAAAGTTTCCGAATTTGGACAAATCGATTAACGGGTTTGAAGCTCGGGGCATTTACGGAATCCGAAAATTGTACGGAAGCGTACAAAACTAAAACCCCTGTTCTTGACCGGATATGTTCTGGTCCATAGAGTTTTCTGAAACAAAGAAATTCGAATTCACGTCGCCATGGATGGAACTCTCTGTAAAGAATTGATAGAGGTTGTGTGAATGATGAACAGATCAGTTAATCTTGAAGTCGGAGAGCGAGTGGTTCTTCTTCGGGACGAGGGGAAGGAGGTATCCGCACGGGTCGCAGAGGAAGAGAGCCACGGAGCTCGGATATTGGAAAACCACTGGAAAGGAACGTAACGTGAAATCAGGATCCCAAGTCGTCGGAACGAAGAGAACGCTCGTCTTCCACCTCGGTCGCGCCCCGTGGGGACAGAGAACCGGATGGATCATGCACGAGTACTGCATGATCGGAGCTCCACGTGTCAGATTATATATTTCCCCCATCCTTGCTTCTTCTATCAAGAACTCGGGTTCTGATGATCTTTTGTTTTCGTTCGTTGCGGAATTCGCAGGACGAGTTGGTTGTGTGTCGGCTAAGGAAAAACAGTGATTTCCAGGCAGGTTCAAGCCAAGGACAGATGCATGACGGCAAGTGTGGAGACACGGAATCGTACTCTTGGTCTGAATCAGAACAGAAACCATCGAATCATGCTGCTGACACTAACGCAGAACCGTCAGACTATGTAGAGGTAAACTAGTTTCTCAAAAATGCTCTAGAGAAAGCTCGATTTCTTTAACCAGATGCCGAATTTTCTCTTCGTAGACGGAGCTTGCTCTTTGAAGTTTAACGCCATGGGAGAAGAGTGAGTGAGCTCTTGCTTCTGTTCGATGATGACGGTGAAAGAAGGCGATGATGAAGAAAAAACGCGTTGTGGCTTCTCCAAAGGGCTCGATGAAGAGGGGAGGCATCAGTCGATAATCTTGTTAAGAGCGTATAATAGTGTGATGATAACATAAGCAGCTTGCTCGTGCTTCTGCTCAATTTTGGCTTTGCTTGATGACCGAAACAAAGTTTTTTTTTTTTTTTGATGAATCGAATCAATCATCTTGAAATGGGTTCTTGATAGTAACTGGAAAACACATGAACAGTAGAAGTAGGTTTTACCGTTTGTGCTCTGTAAATTGAGCTTTCCCTCTATTTTACACAAAATCTCCGATAGGATTTGGATATAACCAAAGCTCAAACCGTTCACTCAGATCGTAGAAATTGGAGTCGGAGTTTCCTGTTTAGGGTTTGTACAGTGGAGTCTGGGGCCTGGGAATGTCCTTAGTCTTCACAGAGAGGTCCCGATTCGATCCAAACCGGTCATATCAAACCGAGTAAAAATGGTTTATTCCGGTTCATTTGATCTCCGGTTTGCGGTCTTAGCGGGTTCCAAACCGAACCGGTTTTGGGTTTGGACCCCTTATTCACTCAAAGAACGACTTAGAAACTTCCGAAGAGAAGAGAACTTGTACTTAGTCTTACCCCGTTGACTTCCATGTCCTCCATCATTATATATAATATTTATCATTCTCTAATAACATTAATAGTTTACGACAATACCCTCTTTTTTTTTTTCTTACGAAAAATATTTTTATCAATAAAAACTAGATTCGAACTAAATCCTGAAAATCAAACAAATCAAATCTAATAAAAAATTGAATAGATATGAATTTAATAAAACCAAAAATCTCATACGAATTAATTTGCACTATTTTTAAGCGGGTAGATGCAGAACAGCAGAATGTCACGATAAGGACAATCTTGTAATTATAAGAAAGACCGAGGGTGTTTTGAGGAGGTGGAGTCAATACTTCGAAGTCGTCTTGCATTGTCTGTCCGAGTGCGGGCGCAAAGCACCTGGGTCTTCGCATTTCGTTATAAAATGACGGAGCTCGATTTCCAAATCATGCCGAGGAAAATTCTTGAAAATGGGTTTGCTACCGGAAAATAAGTTCGAGCGTCGTTTTCGTCTTCTCCACCTCGCCCTTCTCTCTCTCTTTCCC